GTACTAGCAAAACCAGGTTAAGCCCTAAAAATAATTAAGAAGCCATTGCATGCACACACATGAATGTTTAACTTCAGCTAAAACGCTTTCAAATGTACTATTTTATCTTTATACAAGGTTATAACACAAATTAAAAATTTAAAAATATTTTCACTTTACATATGTGAAAACTGCAGCTCAAAGAATTTAAAAGACATGATTGAAACCCCATAACTAGGTAAAGATGGTCAGATCTGGAGCCCGTGTGTCTGGGTCCCCCCACGCCCTGGTACAGAGCGTGTGAGGCTTCACCAGGAAGCTCTTTCAGCTCAAGGATTAGCTCTGGGGAAGTGCAGCAGGCAGGCCCGCTTTGCACCCTTTTTCCAGCAGAAATCCAATGTTTGTTCAAGTTTCTAGTTCTTTTTGTTTTGTTCTGTTTCTTACCAGTATGGCTCTGAGAGTTATTTATAAAATTTAGTTTTAAAAGAGACAGTCCCATCATTAGGGTTCCTTGCAAACTTATGCAAAAACAAAAAAATACTGGTAGATGAGAAACTTATGCAAAATTGTTAGTTATACATAGATATACATATATAATTGTAACTAAAGAAATGTATATCACAGTAATAATTGAATTTATTACTGTCATTTTTTGGCCAGATTTGAGGGCAATTTTTTAAGCTCTCCACATGTGGTTTACTGTGGACCAAACACTGGCATACTTCAGGCTGACAATCTGCTGACAACCCCTTCTTAGTTTCTTCACTTGAAAAATGTGAGCGTGCCCTGTTCATGTGCCTGGCAAGCTCATAACCCACTCAGGAGAAGGACAGTGGCCACTCAGGTCATCAGGTGAACTTGTGACGAGGCCATCAAGAGGCTGCACATGAGCTCCAGAAAATGAAATTCCCACTGTCTACCTATTCCCCATTTCCAACCAATGCCCCGACCCTGCTCCAAAGCAAGGTCTCCACCTCCTAGGAATGCTTGATTTTCAATATTGCTGAACAGGGGTCATAGAAAACAAACTGAACAAAGAAACAAATGAAGCCTTTAACTCAGTGAGCAAAGACACAGCACCTCCCCACCCCCACAACAGCTCCAGAGCCACACAGCTGCTGCCAGAGCCTGAGCACAGGCCTGAGCTCTGGCCCGTGGATCTCACCAATGCATTTCTTCCCTCTGTGTCAAAAAATGTATCCATACATGGGATTCGTTTACTTGGGACATAAAATAATGTATACCTATAATTTTGTCCCAGAACTGTGTAAACCGGCCTGCTGTCTGCCACAATACAGTCCTCACCCTGCATCAGGGCTTAGATGGGGGAAGCCGGCAAGGTGGAGGCCTGGGAGTCACAGGTGCTTGGACAGGAGAGAAAAGCACCACAGAGAGCCAGGACTTGCCTACAAGTCACATTTGTAGGGGTCTAGTGGTCTGGGCAGGCTGGGAGATGCTCTCTACAGGAAAGGCAATAAATATTGCCCCACATCTCCCACCACCAAACAGAAAGTGCAGGTGGTCAGCCCCAGGGCTCAGCTGCCGTTTGCCAGGGTCACGAGTCAGGCCCAGGCTGTGCCCTCCACGCTACCCTCAAGGGGACTTCCTGCCAGGCTGGGACAACTGCACCAGGCCCTGATGCCCTGGGAAGGACAGGGTTGTGTTTGACAGAAAGAGCTAAACCTGCCGGGATGAACTTGCCTTTCCCCGGGGCCATGGGATGATTTATAGAAAGTTCTACCCATCAGGACAAGACTTCACATGACACCATCAGATGAACTGATTTCATGCCACAGAGGGAGGAAGAGGGCACATGGTCTGCTGGTCACAGCACACACACGCTCCTGAGAGCTTCAGACCCAGCGGTGTGGCTCAGGTGCCAGGTCCGGATGTGGGAGGACACCGTGTCCAGGTGAATCTATCACCTTTGCTAGCTGCCTTGTTTCACCAGGTAGAAGATGTGGCAATGAGAGCATTGTAGCAGGAAGTCCAGTGTCCCCCAACCTTCCACATCACACCCAGGACCCCTGAGGTGCATCTATATCCTGCACATCTAGGCTCTGAGAAGCAGGAGGTCCTGGTTTCCACAGCTGTGGGGCTTCTAGCCAGGGCAGGTCCAGGTTCTCTGAAAAAACAAGCTCTGGGTGCTGCTTTGTCCTCAGGCTGCTCCTCCATGGGACCTGCGGGCAGAAAAATGAGTACCACCTGGACCGTGGTGTCAGCTGGAGCAGGACTGTGCTGCCTGGGGAAGGAGGGGCTCCACACAAGTGCCTCTCGGTACACAGCATTTGATGGCATGTGGACAAGTGCGGGAGCTCTAGACCAAAGACTCTGTGGTGAGCAAGGCTCAGGGCCCCTTAGGAGTGAGGGCCTGGGTTACACCACCAGGGGGTCACCCGGACCCTCAGCAGAAGGTGGAGGGGGTGGTGATCATTACCTGTGCGACCTTGAGATGGGTGGCAGCCACAAGACAGAGGGTTCATTGAACCCACATTTTGTAACTAGCACCCAGGAAAAAGCCCAGAATTTAATAAAGACGAGGCCCCTGTCAGTGCAGTGCTGGCTGGGGTGCACCCCCTGGTGCACACCTGATCCTCCCCCAGGGCCTCAGCTGTGAGCTTTGATTGTAGACACACTTATGCCACGGCCCCTTCAGACTGTAGGGATCATGGTGCTTTCCATGCAGTGATTCTGCAACTGTAGGCACCTGCCTCTCAGAGGAGGAATTTTCAAATCTGTCACAGCTACACTTGCAAGGGTGTCCTTTGTCACTTTTTCTGATGGAGAACTCAGTTGTTGTGAAACATAAAGTTTCTGATATTTTGATCCTCACACTTCCCACACTAAACAGCGGCACTGCATTCTGTCCCCCAACTTTGAAAGGGGAAGCAAGAGGATAGGTCCTGTCTGAATCTCGAGGTACTCCTTGAGGAATGTCCAGCGGCTGCTGTGGCTTGGGACAAGCAGTGTCTCACAAGACCAAAGAGTTGTCAACCAATAGTTGTAAGTATATTGAATATTGCTGTTTATCTCCCGGCGCTCTGGTTATAATCTCCCCTATTAATATCTTGTAGTCTTATTGTTGTAGTTATTTTGTTTTCTATTAATTTCTGAGATATAAGAATTAGAATTGTCATATTGTGGATTTATGCATTTATCCTTTTAATTCAATAACTTTTGCTTCATGTATCTTGCCAGTTCACAAATGGACAGATTCTTAGTTCCACAGACCTCGTGTCTACAGTTGCGGTAAGCAAGACTGAACTCAGCCAGCCACGCTCACCTGCAGACACTGAGATGTTTGCCAGGAGGCTGTGGAGTGGAATACAAGACACGAATGCTGACAAGGATGGGAAGAGCCTCCCTTTCCTGGCTGGGGGGAGGGGGAGACTTGGCCAATTCAAAAATAGATAACAGAAGGTCTCAGAGCTCCTGAGGCAAGAGCTACTTAGGCATTCAGAGATACTTGGATGATGGCATTGTCTTCATTAGAACCCTGAAAAAGCACCAGAGACTCCCAGGCAACTTAGCTTAAATCTCTCTTGAGTAGAGCTAGTCTTTGAGATCTTCATCAAGTGGAGGAGCCTTCACCACCGTGACAGCACATAATAAAGTCGGCCTTGTTAGCAGCAGGGACAGGCCTGATGTCACTGATCCTGAGGCAGGAATCTTGTAAGCCCATATACTCTCTTGCCTGACTGCCCTGGCTAGAACTTCCAGTACTACATCCAACAGGAGTGGTGAGAATGGGAATCATGTTTTGTTCTAGTTCTCAAGGGGACAGCTTCCAGCTTTTGCCCATTCAGTATAATGTCAACTGTGTGTCTGTCACAGATAGCTCTTATTATTGTGAGGTAGGTTCCTTTGATGCCTACTTTATTGAGGGTTTTTTTTTTTCTTTAACACCAAGGGATGTTTAATTCTATCAAAAGCTTTCCTTTTTGCATCTATTGAGTTTTGTTTTTAATTATGTTTACGTGGTAAATCACATGTTTTGATTTGCATATGTTGAAACAACCTTCATTCCGGAAATCTACAGGGTGACGATGAACTTTTGGTTGTGCTGCTAGGTTAAGTTTGCTAGTATTTGGTCGAGAATTTTAGGTATATATTTATCAGGGATATTGGCCTGTAGGTTTTTTTTTTTTTCTTGTGTCTTTCCTAGGTTTTGATATCAGGTTGACACTGGCTTCACAAAGTAGTTAAGGAGGAGTCCCTCCTTAACTCAGCGGGCCTCAAGAGGTTGCTAGGATTCCCCCGCCTCGCCCCCAGATTCCTGAGAGTTCAGCACAGCCTGTGCCCTGGGTGTCACAGAGACGGATGCGGGTCCCTCTCTCCGTCCGGGAATGGACGGGCCTGGGTCCTGTCCACAGGGCCCCTCGCGGGCGCTGATGCAGGATGGATCATCGTGCATGAGGTGGGGACAGCGCTGGACCCCAGAGCCCCTACCTGCCTCCTGGGGAGCCCGGGTGACCCAGGCAGCCCTGGTAAGGCCGCAGGTGTCTGGGCCCTAGAGAGGCCCCCGGGCTCCCACAGGACAGATGCGGACAGTGGGGCCGGGGAGGCCCTGCTACCCTCGGGACTGTCCCTCCAGCCCCAGCTTTCTGTGATTCTCGGCCCCCTCTGCAGAGAGGCAGGGGATCCACCCTGGATCCTGAGGTGCCGAGCTTGAGGGACCCCAGAGTTTCAGCCAGGCCGCTTCCTTTGGGGATGGTGAAGCTGAGGTTCAGAGGAGGGCAGGGGCAGGTCCCGGGGGCTCCCCAAACAAAGGAGCCTATCTCGTGGCCGGGGTCACAGGGAGCGCTCCTGCGACCTCTTGGGCCCTAGAGCCAGGGAGGATGAGAGACTAGGGGCCTTTCGTCGACCCCTGGGACTGGGCAGAGGCTCAGCCTGTGCCACAACCCTAAGCTGCGTCTGGCCCCTCTGAGCCGCGGGCCCTTTAAGAGGGGGTGGTGCTTCAACCTGGAGCGAGGGGCGCTGCCAGCATGCATGTGCCCGCGTGCATGTGCCGCCCCTACAGAAGCCGAGACTACACTTCCTGTGAGGCCTCGGCAGCGGCGGCGGAGCGGCGTGGTCAGAGAGAGCTTCAGAGAAGCCGTGGTGGGTTCGGCGTGACGGTGGAGGAGGAGGCGAGTCTCGGTAAGTGTCCGGGGCTTGGACCCCACCGGAAACCCTCTGGACCTCCCTGCTCCTCCCCGGTCACTCCTTGCTTTGGGGCCCTGACTTATTCTGGGCATCTGGGCCCAAGTCGTCCGCATGTAGGCAGTTGTGGGGTCCCGGCCTTGTCAGCGTCCGCCCCCCTGCCGCCCCTTGGCCCAGAGCCCTGGCGGTGAAGCGCGGGTCCTGGGTGCCTCCGAGCCCCCATGGGCTTCTGAGCTGGGGTCTAGGGTTATTTTTGATGCCTCAAGACCTTTAGCAAGAGACCTCGCTGGGGCAGGGGACACGTGTAGTTTCAAGTCTTTGAGGAGTCTCCAGCTATTTAGCTGTTTTCCATGATGTATATCCTGATTTTCAGTTCCACCTACAGTGTATGAGTTCCCCTTTCTCGAAAACCACACTCGCATTCCTATGTTTTTCTTTTCGTTTGCTTTGTTTTCTGAGACACAGTCTTGCTCTGTTGCCCATGCTGGGGTGCAGTGGCGTGATCTCGGCTCACTGCAACCTTCGCCTCCCGGGTTCAAGCAATTCTCCTGGCTCAGCCTCCAGAGTAGCTGGGACTTTGGGCACCAGCCACCACACCCGGCTAATTTTTGTGTTTTTAGTAGAGACGGGGTTTCACGATATCAGTCAGTCTGGTCTCAAGCTCTTGACCTCAGGTGATCCACCCACCTTGGCCTCCCAAAGTGCTGGGATTACAGGCCTGAGCCACCGACCCCCCCCCCCCATTTCTTAAAAGTTTTTTTAGGAATATTCAGTAAGTGTGAGATTATCTGGGTGTGGTTTTGAATTACAGTTTTCCAATGCATAGTTAATTTTGAGGACCCTATATCGTATCCGTTGTTCTTTTTCATGAGTGTACAGAATTGTCCAGGTTCTTTGCGAAATATTTGTTTGCGAAATATTTGATTGGATTCTTTTGCTACTTTGTAGTGTTTTTTGTGTATACATCAGATGAAAACTCGTGAATTACAAGATTGCCTGAAATTTTTTCCTAATCTATAGGACGCTTTTTTATTTGGAAAGTAGTTTTCGTTGATGTGCAGAAACTTTTGAGGTTGATATAGTCCCATATGTTTATTTTTGTGTTTCATGTATGTAATTTTGGTCGCCCTTATAAGAAAATATTTATCAGTGACAAAGCATTTAGTTGTTAGTGAGGTTTTTCTTCAAAGGTATTTGTTTGTTTTCCTCTTTGCAAAGGTGAGCAGAGATTCAAGTAACCCAAAATACATGTTCATCCTGTGTTTTAAAAACCTTTTGTGGTTTATGGTCTTTTGGCCTTCAATTTGGGGGAGGGGGTTTTGGTTTTTATACGTCGTGTAAAACAAGGATCCTGTTTCTCGCTTCTGCGTCTGGATATCATTTTTCTCAAAGGTATTCATTGAGCAGACTCTGCCTTCCGCATTGTAGTGTTCTTTATGAAAGTCGGTTGACTATGTCCATATTTGTGTTGATTATGTTTTTGCTCTCCCTGTTTTTTCCCACAGTTCTAGGTATTTTTATTTATGCAAGTACCATATTTCTGCTACATAACTACGACTTGGCCGTATAATTTGATATTGAGGATTGTGGTTCTCACTTTGATTGTATTTCTGAGGGTTCCTTTAGATATTCATTGCCTTTGTGGCTCTTTGTGATTTTTAGCAATATGTATTTATTGCTGTTAACTTTATTTCACAACACAAAGGTCTATAGTTAGGGGTACATTTTCATACATATAGATGGGGTAATGATCAAATCAGGGTACTTGGGAGCTCTATTGCCTCACACAGGTATTATTTTTGTGTGGAGAGAACATTCAAAATTATCCCTTCTTGCTCTTTAGAAAAATATAATATTGTTAACTCCAGTCACCGGGGCTGAGGAGAACATTCAGATGTATTCCTTTAATGTTAAGATAACTTTGTTTCCATAACCAATCCTTCCCATTCCCCCTCTAGCTCCCAGACTGTGGTAATTAATATTGTGCTTTCTATTTCATTAAGATAAACATCTTAAGATTTCACGTGAGTGGTATCATGCAGTGTTTGTCTTTCTAGGCCTAGCTCATTACATTTAGCATAATGTTTTCCAGGTTCATCTGCGTTGCTCTAAGTGACAGTGTTTCATTGTTTTGGTGGCTGAAGAATGTTCCCTAGTGTATGTATATGAGAGTTTATTGATCTCTGTATCTGTGGATGAACAGGTGGGTTGAATGATACCCAGTAGTGGGACTGCTAGATGGTTTGATGTTTCTTTTTTTTCCTATTTGCAGGACCCCTCAACTGTTTTTTATAGTGTTAATACTAATTTATGTTTCCACAAACAGTTCCCCTTTCTGGAAATTCATACCAGGATTTTTTTTTTTTTCTCTGAGACAGAGTCTAGCTCTGTCACCCAGGCTGGAGTGGAGTGGCAGAGTTCAGCTCAGTGCAAGCTCCACCTCCCGGGTTCATGCCATTTTCCTGCCTCAGCCTCCCGAGTAGCTGGGACTACAGGCAGCCGCTACCACACCCGGCTAATTTTTTGTATTTTTAGTAAAGATGGGGTTTCACTGTATTAGCCAGAATGGTCTTGATCTCCTGCCCACGTGATCCACCCTCCTCGGCCTCCCAAAGTGCTGGGATTACAGGCATGAGCCTCTGTGCCCAGCCTAGTAATTGTCTTTTTAAATACTTTAATCTTTTTGTAATGTTCATTCTAGTTGGAGTGAGATAAATTCTGAGTGTGGTTTTGATCTACATTTTTCCCACGAGTAGTAATGTTAACACCATTTTTGCAAACATTGGTTCAGTTTCCTGTCTTCTTTGCAGAAATATCTACTCAGGTTATTTGCCCAATTTTGATCTGGTTATTTTTCTGTTGTTTTGGTTTTTTTTGCCAGCTGGCAGTGTTACTAGCTTGTACATTTTCAAAAACAACCCCTTATCCACTGTATGTTTGCCCAAACTTTTCTTATAATTTTCAGTATGCTTTTTCATTTTGTTCATTGTTTTCTTTGTTGGGCACAAACTCTTCAGTTTGACATGGTCCCACACGTGTAGAATTTCTTGTTAGCTGCGCTGTTGGTTACTAATCAGGAAAAAACAAAATTGCTACCAAAGCAGTCCATTGTCAATGATTTTTTTCCTTGTATTTTTGTTACTTTTTGCAAACTATGAGCATACATTCAAGTTACCCTACATATACACACTCCAGAGGTTGTCTTTATAGGAGCTTTATGGTTGCAAGTTTGGTGTATAATCTTTAATCCTTTTGAGTTGATTATTGTGTATCTAGTACCATAAGAGTCCTGTATTGCACATGGATATCTAGTTTTGGAAACCTTCCCCATTGTGTCATTTTGGTGGTGTTTTGAAAAATGTGTTCACTCTGTAGAATTTTGTGTTGATTCTTGAGCATCCTCATTTTTCTCACTGGTCTGTGTTTCTCTGTGTATGCCAGTAACATATGTGTTGGTTAACCGGGGATTTTCTAATAATTAGAACTCAGAGAATGTGATGCATCCCATATGGTTTGTATTTCTCAGGATAGCTTTGGAAATTCAGCATGTTTCACATTTTCACATACATTGTGGCATTATTTCTATTTCTTAAAACACTATTTGCCATATACTAAATGTATGTGATCAAAGGGTACAAGGAAAATTTTGATACATGTATATGTTGAGTAATGATAAAATCGGGTTATTTAGCATCTCTTCACCTCATATAGTTTTTATTTTTTGAGTGGTAACAACATTCAGAATCTTTCCTTCTAGCTACTTTGAAACATATGATACATTTGTGTTAAGGCTAATCACCCTGCTATGGAATAGAAGACCAGATTTGATCACTCTCATCTGAGAGTGACTTTGTACCCATCACTGATTCCTTCCCAGACCGCCTCTACCTCCCCTGCAGACTCTGGTGACCCCTATTGAACTTTTTACTTCTAGGACGTAAAGTTCTTTTCAGTCTACATCCCTGAGATAACATGGCATCAGTCTTTCTCGACCAGGCTCATTCATTGGACTTGATGTTCTCCAGGTTTCTTCATGTGGCTGCAGATGGCAGGATTTTCCAAAGCTTTGTGGCTGAAACATATTCTGTGGTGTATCTATACAGCAGTTTCCTCATCCCTGCAGCTGCGTATGCATAGGTAGGTTGGTTCTGTACCCTTGCCACAGTTACAAGTGCTTTAGTACTCCTGGGAAGGCAGATAGCTCTCTTCAACCTAGGATTTCAACTGCTTTAAATGTGGAACCACTGGTGGGGTTGCTAGCTGACATGGTAGTTGTACTGTGAATTTGTTCAGGAATCTCTAGCTGTTTTTCATAGTGTGTATACTAATTTACATCCCCACCAATAGTGTTTAAGAGGTTACCCTTGTGTAAGTCTATACTGGATGTCACTTTCAAAAAATCTGTGTTTTGTTTGTTTTGGGTAGTATTCATTCTGAGTGGAATGAGGCGGAATCATAGTGTGGTTTTCATGGACTTTTTTGTGAGGATTAGTGATGTCAATAAAGTTATTTGAGAAATCCCCACATTGCTCTCCATGGTGTCCAAACTAGTTTTCATTTCCACCAACAGCTGACCAGCATCCCTTTCCTCCTGTGCCTCACTGGCATTCATTCTTGTGGACTGTGTCACAATCATCATTCTGAACCAGTGTGAAATACTATCTCGTGGGTCTTTTGCTTTACATTTCTCTGATGATTACTGAGGTAGAGAAATATTGTCCTGTCTGTTGGTTGCTGTAAACCTTTTTTGAGATGCTTGTTTTCATGCCCCTTGCCCTTTCTTCATTGAGTTTTTGTTTTGCTGATTGATTTGCTTAAGGCCTTTGAGGTAGATCCTGGATATTAGACTTCATCAGATGCATACGTGGAAACATTTTCTCTCACTGTGTAGGCTGTCCGTTTACTCTGTTGGTAATTTCTACTGCTGTGCAGCAGCTGTTTTGTACACTAGGCCCCACTTGTCAATAATTGTTTTAGTTGCACTTGCTTTTTACACATTTTGTAGAACACCAAAAGATACAACGAAGAAGGGGGAATCTGCTTAATAAAGTGTTTTAAAAATTGGATATCCCTATATAAAATAATAAAATAGAACCCCTATTGTGTAAAAGCACAAGAACCAACGCAAAATGAATTAGAGACTAATACACAAAGCAGGGACATAGGCATATCCGTGCTGTGCCAAATCCTCTGTCAAGAAGGGTATTTCCTAGGTTCTCTTGCAGGCTTTTCATAGTTTGCGGTCTTGCATTACATCTTTCATTCATCTTGAGTTAGTTTCAATACACAGTGAGACACAGGGGCCCACTGCCTTTCTTCTGCAACTGGCTAGCCATTCATCCCAGCACCCTCTATTGAGAGGAGGGAATCCTTTCTCCAAAGCTTATGTTTTGTGGATTTTGTTGAAGATCAGATGGTGTTAGGGGTGCGGGTTTACGTCTGGGTTCTCTAATCTGTTCCACTGCTCTGTGTGGAACAGGGTCCCTAACTTTTCAATGGAATGTAAAATCAGGAAGTGTGACACAACCGGTGTAGTTTGTATTTCTCAGCGTTGCTTTGGAAATTCAGGGTGTTTTGTGGTCCACATGAACTTTAGCATTGTGTGTTTACATATTTTTTAAAAGGTTGTCCATACAGTAATGGCATACAATGGGGGGAAGTTAGAGCGGGGCATTTTGGTTAATGCAGATACAGAGAAATGTTAAAATCAGGATATTTAGGATCTCTGTTATCACAACAGTTGTTAATTTCTTGTGATGGAAACGTGGAATCTTGCATTTACAAGAGTCTCTATTATCACAAAACAGTTGTTAATTTCTTTATGGTGAAAATATGTGAAATCTTCTTTTCCAGATTTTGTGAAAAAGGTGTGATGTTGTGTTAATTTACTCTAGTCACTGTGCTGTGTAACAGAGAGGAACAATTCATGCCTCTCATCTAAGTGTAACTTTGTACGTATTTCTGATCCCTGCCCATGCCCCCTCTTCCCTCCAACCTCTGGTAACCAGTATGGTGCTCTCTAGATTTATGCAATGAAGCCTTTTATTTGGATTCTACATGAGTGAGATGTGGCAGTGTTTTTGTTTCTCTGCCTGATTTAGGTCATTTACCATAATGTCCTCCAGATTCAACAGTATGGCTCCAAATGATGACATTTCATTCTGTTTTTCTGGTTGAAGACTATTCTATTTGTGTACATCCATCGCAGTTACTTTATCCCTTCATCTGTGGCTGGACAGGTAAGTTTATTCTTTATCTTGGCAGTTGTCAGTAGTGCTGCGGTCCACATAGGATGGCAAATATCTCTTGCATGGACTGATTTCCTTTGCCCTGAAAGTATACTTAATGTAGAATTGTTAGATGAAGTGGTAGTTGTAGGTTTAATATTGGGAGGAACCTCCCACTGGTTTCTGTAGTTTGTATACTAATTAACATTCTTACCAAATGAATTGCTCTCTGGAAATTTACACCCACATTTGTGTCTGTTTTAATGTATATTATAACTTTGATAACATCCATTTGAATTACAGTAAGATGATGTATGTGTTGTTTTGATTTACATCTTTCTCATGATTTGTGATGCTATCCAAGTTCTTAAAACTTGTTTCAATGTTATGTCTTCTTTGCAGAAATGTCTATTCAGGTTCTTTTGACCCATTTTGTTTGGTTATTAGTTTCTCATTTGTGTTTTTGCTAGTAAGTAGTGTAGTGGCTTAGACATTTTGAAGACAACCTTTTATTAGATGTATGTTTGCCGAAACCTTTCTCGTAAACTTGAGGATGATTTTTTTATTTTTTTCATGGTTTTTTTTTTTAATCTGCTTGGGCACAAACTCTAGAGTGGATGCATTCCCACGTGTGTCTGTTTTCTTGGTTACCCTGTGACATAGGTGACTGATGAAGAAAAACAAAATCATGTCCGAACTAATCCATCTCCCATGAGTTTTCCCCCTGTATTGTTTGTTTGGTTTTGGCACAGTGTGAACACAGATCCACATTGACCTAAATATTACCCACACTGTATGTCTTCCTCTTGTGGGAGCTTGATGTTTCAAGTTTTGTGTATTAGTCTCATAATTCATTTTGAGTTGATTGTTGTGCCTTTTACACAATAGGGGTTCTATTTTATTATTTTATATGGGACATCAATTTTTAAAACAACTTATTAAACAGATTCCCCCTTCTTCATGTGTCTTTTTGGTGTTCTTTTACAAAATGTGTACACTACCAAGGAGTTGGGTTTGTGATTAAGCTCCCTCATTCTGTCTGTTGGCTGGGGTGTCTTGGTTAATGCAAGTCATCTGTTATTTAGAAAACTAGCTTTTCAATATAATTTCAAATGGAGGACAGTGATGCATCCACATACTTTCTATTTCCAGAAATGCTTTTGAAGTTTAGGGCATTTCATGGTTCCATGTGAATTTTAGCATCGTTGGCATCCTTTTTTCTTTTTTTTTTTTTAATAAAGGAAATTGCCCTAAAGTATATGTACATAAGTAGAGGATGCAGGGGCCATTTTGTATTATAGTTACTCCTAGCATATTGAGAAATCACAATATTTTGCATCTGTGAAGTCCTCTGGGTATTATTTGTCTGTGGAGAGGATATTCAGAATCCTTTCCAGCTATTTGGAAAATTCACTACAATATTAACCCTAGTTTTTTTTTTTAGGTTTTTATATTAACCCTATAGAAGAAGGGTTAGGATTGAGTTCAGTTTTCTAAGTGTAAACTTGGTAACATTACCAGTTCCTACCCGGCCCCTCTTCTTCCCCAGCCTCTGGTAACCACGCTTGTTAAACTTTCTACTTCTATGAGATCAAGTGTTTTAGATGTCCACATAGGTGAGATTATGCAAGTATATGCCTTTCTTTGGCCTGGCTCATTTCATTTAACATAATGTCCCTCAGGTTTTTCCACATGGCTGCAAATGACTAGATGTAACCCATTTCTATGGTTGAAGAATACTCCATTCTGGATGCATATTGCAGTTTCCTCATCCCTTCATCAGTGAATGAACGGGTAGGCATATTTCGTATCTTGGCTATTGTGAGTACTACAGTACACAGGGCAAGGAGGTATCTCTTCCACATA